TACCTAACACTAGAAAATATTTGTTGTGCTTCTATTTGGTGACCACTAGTGAGTTGGCTATTTACATTACGTATTGCCTTACCTAATCTATTAAGGGCCGGTTGTTCAATGTCTGATTAGCTCAAATCGGAGGTAGAAGCTCCGGTTAAGTACAACGGCTGCTTTATCGATCACATGTTACATGCATCATGTCGAAATCGTCGATAGTGTAGTGGTAGTGATAACCAGACGGTGAACAACCGGCCCTAAATGTTAAACTGTGTTCAAATACCTCAGTAGAATTCACAACAATGGCGTTTAGATTTTTTATTTTAGATTCGTTTTCACCCATTTTATAAAAAATATAAAATATATAATATTTAATAATTAAGGTAATAATAAATTGTTAGTAATAAACGGCAAGAATCTTTGATCCTTGCCGTTCAATAGGCAGCCGTTGGGTTACCAAAATATTTTGTTAGTATAGTTTAGGGTTAGGCTAAACAACATCCGTAAACCTAGCTGACCCAAGTCACCAAAAATCAATCAAAATTAGCTAGAAATTAGGTTTCTTTTAGGTGTAAATTAGGGCCTCCAAAATTAATTTAGGTGGTCCTTTGTTTTCCGAGAAATTCGGACCCTAGCTGACCCATCTTTAAATTTAGGTTTTAAAATTTCCAAATATATGCTGGAATTAGGGGTCTTTTAGGAGCCACTAAAACTAATTTAGTAGCTCCATTGGTTTCCGAGAAATTCGCAAAAGTGTTTTTTCATCTAGCTTAGCGCTGTTAACCTAAATCTTTAAATTTTTGTTTTAAATTTTCGAAAAACATATATGCAGGAATTAGGTGTCTTTTAGGTGTTCTTCAACGCCACTAAAACTAATGTAGCTAGCTGACCCACACATTTTTTCCAATTTCTAGGAAACCAATGGAGCTACTTAAGTAGTGCTGAGAACCTTTGTTTACAAATTGAGCAAACTAAATAGTGTCGTTACACATATCTATGTAAATTTGTGCAAATTAAAATGAAATAAAAGCAAAAGCGAGTTTATAAAAACATGGTAAAAATGAGTACAACGAGTAAACTGGCAGGAGTAGAAAATGTTTAATGTAGAGAAATTTGTCTGTCTACAGATTTATTAAAAACTTCCGACTGTCTAAAGAGGCGTTTGTGAACTAAATAAAATAATACTTTTGAGGAGGGCTGCCACCTATTTTTATTTTAGCTCAGTTAAATTGACAAAATAAATGAAATATTGCAATGTGGGTATTAAACTTTAGACTTTTAAGAAGGATTACAACCGAAAATAAGTTTGAGGAGGGTTGCCACCTGTTGGAAAATTTGACTAAATATAATTGATCAAATAAATGGCTTATTACAATAAAGGTATAAAATTAAAGAAGTTTAAAAAACAGACTGTAGGAAATATTTTTGGGGAGGGCTGCCACCTATTTGAAAATTTTAGCTCACTTAAATTGATAAAATAATTGAAAAATTGCAATGTGGGTAATAAACTTTAGATTTTTAAGAAGGCTTGCAGTCGAAAGTATGTAGGTAAAGGGTTGCCCCCTGTTTGAAAATTTAACTCAATTCAATTGATAAAATAAATGACTTTATTACAATAAAGGTATCAACTTAAAGACGTTTAAAAAACATGACTGTTGGTAATATTTTTAAGGAGGGTTGCCAACTATTTGAAAATTTGAACCCAGTTAAATTGAATAAAGAAATGAAATATTGCAATATGGGTATCAACCTAAAGAGCTTTAAGAAGACTTACGGTCGAAAATATGTTTGAAGAGGTTTGCCACCTGTTTGAAAATAAAACTCCATTAAATTGATAAAATAAATGAAATGTTACAATATGAGTACCAAACGAAAGGTATTTAAGGAATCTTGATTTGGAAATACTCTCAATAGAATTACGCAATATATAAAAGTAAACTGAAAATATTCGAATTAAATGAAATATTACATAACTGGTTCGAAACGGACAGCGTTTGGGAAAGCTTTACAAGAGAAATTTTTTGTTAATGTTCTCACGTATCCAAATCCAGATAGTTAAAATGAAGAGAGAGTTTACAACATCTTATCAAACGAAGAGATCATATTATCAACGAAGATTTGGTATACAAATTACGCACAGAAAAAAATTAATAAATAACAACTGATAGAAATTAAAAAATTATAAAAAGCGTAACGAAAACATAAAAATATCCCATGAAATGAAATAATGAAAACTTAAAATGTTTATCACCATTCCCTTACATTAACAGTTAAGTTTTAATCATAAACAATTTCGTTTGGGGTCGCCATAGCCTACTAAGTATATTCCGAGTAAAGAAATTTTTAATAACAATAGATAATATTATTATGATTATTATTACTATTGCGAACTCCTATTATATGTGCAAACAGACATTCTCAAATTAAAGCTAAAGCAGAAGGGCATTTACGATCGCATGATGCAAGTGTTAATATAATAAGAGCTGCGTGTAATTTCTGTCGTGTGCCGATGACATCGACATCATCGGTAACAAAAGCCTCGAAGTCTCTTCTGCCTTTCCAAGTTGGATAACGAACGATAACAACATCAAATAAACAGTCTGTGCAGTTGGCACTCACGTCACTGTTGCCAGTTGTAATTTCGAGAAAGTAAAGAATTTCGTTTACTTGGGAACCAGCATTAACACCGATAATAATGTCAGCATATAAATCCAACTCAGAATCACTCTAGCCAAAAAGTGCAACTTTGGACTGAGTAGGCAATTCGGGAGTAAAGTTCTCTCTCGACGTACAAAAACCACACTCTATAAGTCACTCATCATTCCCGAGCGGGTTTATGGCGCAGAAGCATACACTCGGAGGTTTGCCATTGCCTGCCGAGGGACGACCGCTGTTAGGAAAAAACCTTTTTTCTAAATTTTTGCGATTTTGCTTTGACCAGGGTTTGAACCCAGGTGTTGCGGAGTGGAAGCGCGCACTGCTTACCACTACACCACAGCGGCCGACTAAAAAAGGAAAGGACTATTTACCAGCAATAAAATGCAAGTAAATTTTGACAGCTGCCTTTGTTGCATAGCGCCACTTGCGACCGGATAAAATAGACTAAGGAATTTTTAGCGAAAGGAGGACAGAACTGCAATTTCTCGGAGAAAGTTAGAATCCGGCTGCTGGTCGACACTGTTGGCTTTTTGATTTCAAAAATAACTTCATCATCAAGAAACGCGATGTTTTAGCATCATTTCCAATTTTTTCCCATAATTTTCGTTTTCTTTTACAAATAGTTGCAAAAAATACTCGGCTTTTCTTTTAAGAGTTTCATGGAACTTTCGCAAATATCATCAGCACCAATCTTTACCAACATGGTTGACAACCGAAGAAAGATTTTTTATAAGGCCATAAAATAACAAAAACGAAAGTTTTTCTTTTTTCGAACATCCAAGCAGCCAAACTTCAAACAAGTCGCCTTTTGTAATAGCATGATAACCCAGAATACACAGTTTCTTGAAAACGGCTAGAAACGGCGGCTTAAGTAAAATACAATCTACTCATTACATGTTAATTTATCTATTCCCCTTTCTCTTTTGTTTGCCGAAGGTTAAAATGGGAAAAAATCCGAAAATGTTTGAAGTTATGCAAAGATGTCAGTTTCTTTGCAAGCAAGTGATATAAAGTCAATTTTTTTTAAATTGGATATAGGTACTCACTTATATTTGTGTCTTCCAACTAAAATTTTCCTTTAATTATTCGAACTTTATAAAAAAAAAAATGCACTTGAATCTTAAGACATAAACCACCGGTTGCGCAAACAACGTCTCAATAACGTTTTGAAAGTGTAACTTTGTTTGATTGCCGTTTAACGTTGCTTTTTATAAAAAAAAAAGTAACGCTTTTGTTATTTTGGAGTATTCCCTATCGAATGGCAACAAAAAATATTGTACAACTGCGTTTACGAAACTGGACTTTCGCAATGAATCATTTGACCTAATGCGCGGTGGAAGGACCAAAGATCACTTCCTTAGCTACCATGGCATTGAACTTGCCATGTTAAGCGCTCGAAGTGTGTTCCAAGCGCTAAAATAAGACGTCTTTGATTGCCTCGTCACTTTTTCATCGGGGCGTGGGCGCAAATAAACGAGATGTTTAAGAATCTTGTTTTGCTGCGGATTGTGGTGAGATAGTACTCGGCGACGGAGTCTCGCTCCCACTACAAATCCGGCACCGAATTTGTGCTCCTTTACGCGGCAGCTGTAATAGACGTCGGAAAGTCCTATCGTTTTTCTACCTTGCCTCATCTTGCGCATTTATTAGATAATGGTGATGTCAGCCTTAGTCTTCTCGAAGACTTAAACCGGCCGGGCATTCCAGATATGCCTCCAAATCTCTTCCAAACATAAATCCTCAGCAGCTTGATCCGTATGCAAAAGAATCGTTTTTGGCCACTATCTGGTGATTGCGAAAGTGAACCCGGAAGCACCGTCCAGTTCTGTCGGTTGCAGAAATTGAAAATAAATTTTTCTTGACTCTTGTGATAAAACAGAACCAAGTAACTAGAAGCTACTTTCTATTTTCGAATTCTTAAAGAACAACATTTTTTTCTATCTTGCTTCCAGCAACCATAAAGTAAAATTGAAATACAACGAGGTACGAAAAATATATGTGAAAATCAAGATTAGTTACACAAAACCTTAATTTTCTCAACTTTGAAAAAAAAAACAAGTTACTTGGTTCTGTTCTATCACAGGAGGAATGCATTCGTCTCATTTATGAAGGTTCCATTTCTACCACATATACACACATCTCCTTTTTCATTTGTATGCATTTTCTTTCACAAGATCAACTAATCAAAAATTACACGAAAGATTTAGCTTTTTGTTCTCTAAAATTCTATAAGTATGAAGGCAATGTATTTAAATCATAACCAAAAATGATGATACTCATATTTTTTCATTCGACTTTCATTAAAGTAATGCAGCTTTTATATATTTAATTTTCAAAACAACTGTGTTTTCCAGGTTCCTGGCCGAATGTTTCCAATTGAAATCGATTATGAGGACGAGAAGACAATTGATGACCCGGAAAAATTAAAAATTAAATCAAAGCTGGATACATCCGTTCAAGAATTAATGAAGCTTTTATTTGACATTGACACTATGAAAAGAACAATGATGCTATTTGATCTGGATATGGAAAAAATGCCGTTAGGAAAACTAAGCCAAACACAAATTCAATCTGCATACAAAGTGCTGACTGAAGTTTATGAACTTATACAGCAAAATGAGAGTAAACCCAAGTTCATTGATGCCACTAATCGATTTTATACTTTAATACCACATAATTTTGGAGTTCAAGCTCCCCCACTTTTGGATACTATTGAACAAGTCGAAAACCATCGCCAGGTCCTTGATTCGCTTTTGGAAATTGAATGTGCTTATAGCATGTTGCAAGCTGAAAGCAAAGAAGAGGATGTAAATCCTTTAGACAAACATTATGATCAACTTAAAGCTAAAATTGAGCCCATTGATAAAAATAGCGAAGAATTTGAAATCCTCGAAACATATGTCCGAAACACCCACGGTGAAACGCATAGAATGTATAAGCTGGAAATCGTTGACATATTTAAAGTAGCACGTCAGGGCGAGACCCGACGTTATAAACCATTTAAAAAGCTCAAAAACCGAAAGTTACTATGGCACGGTTCTCGACTTACAAATTTTGCTGGTATTTTGTCACATGGGTTGAAAATTGCACCACCGGAAGCTCCTGTTACAGGCTACATGTTTGGAAAAGGAATATACTTCGCAGATATGGTCTCAAAATCTGCAAATTATTGTTGTACTACATCTCAAGATCCTACAGGTCTAATGCTTTTATCCGAGGTAGCACTTGGCGACATGATGGAATACACCTCTGCAAACTACATTACAAAATTGCCATCAAACAAACACAGCGTTTTAGGCCGTGGACGCACCATGCCTAATCCAAAAGAGTCATACAAACGAAAGGATGGTGTAGAGATACCACTTGGCAAACCAATTACAGATGCGAAACTAAATTCAACTCTTCTTTACAATGAATATATTGTCTATGATGTTGCTCAAGTTAATATCCAGTACCTCTTCCGTATAAATTTTAAATACAATATCTAAACAGAAAATGTGAAAATCATATTATTTAAAGTAAAACGGGATTTTTAAATAAATCTGATAACAAAGTGTAAATGTACAAGATGTTTTTGGTTGTCAATCACGACTGGCTTTATTTGAGTATTCATATTCTAATCTACCTATGCTATTTCTTATTTTCTAATTTCTTAAAGCTAAATTGTTGACGCTGCATTTGTATTGACATTTAGTCAAGTACATGCATTCGTTCCCACGTTTGTACATTTGCTGCTGCTGCTATTGTGGTTGGTGTCAAGTGGCACCTTCCACTACATATGTTAACTACCCTCCCCCGCAAATGCGGTTGCCCTCAGCAACAATTGCTTCCAAGCGGGCTCTAATATGTTCTCTGCTTTTGGCAATGTTCATCGTTAACAAACTATGTTGAAGCTGACAGAGTCAGTTTTTAATTTGATAATTCTGGGCTTTAACTTCATATACAATACTACTGTGGTCTCGCGCGAAAGAAAAAACAAATTTAATGTGTCACTATAATATTTATTTCTTACAATTAATTTATGATTGCTGTGAGTATTGCAATTACACCATACCACATCCATTTGCTATTTTCAAGAACGCCTTTTATCTCTTTAACTCGCTCGTTATTTCGAATATGCAGTTTATGAAGGAATGGCAATGATAGGTGTTTTTGTTGACTTGTCTCATTTAAAATAGTTTTCTTAGGAGCTAGGAGCTCAATAATATCGATCTGATGATTTGCTTTGAACTTCTCTCCATTCATCGTAAGAGATTTTTCAAATGTAATTCACAGGGTTCCATTAGCTCTAATCATTTCTCCATTTTCTTCGATGTCTAGCTTACTGTTGCGTGCGATGATTAATCCGTCTCTAATTACTTCAATCTCTTCTAAGTGGTCCGCCACCGTAGTGGGACAATTTGCTGTATGGTTGTTTAGAAGTTGTAAAAGGCAAACATCTTGCATATTAATACTACAATAGTTATATCCTACAGATTGTCTGCAATTTTCTAATGGATATTGGTTTCCCTTACAATTAGCAGTTAAATTATTCTTTAAATACAACATTTTGTTATTTTGAGCCACAGGACTTATTTGATATAATTTGCAAACTTTTGTTATTTGAGGAATTCGTTCGTTCGTTTTGGTAATAAATTTTTACATCTGAAATTGTAATATTATCGGACATGGGTGCAAGTGTGTTTTCCTTAAATTCTATCAAACTGATTTCTTCTGTATTTAAAATTAGTGGGTTTACAATATTATATTTTGCTAAGGCTACACCATACAACATGTTTTTTTTAAATTATCAATAACTATTCTATTTATTCGTGCCATGAGTAGAGTGACCACTTCATAATCAATTGCATTTCTAGTATTGGTATTGTTAATTCTGTCTGTTATTTCATCAATTTTTTGTTGAATTTCTTTGTTTATTTCTATTTGTCTATTTCCAGCCCTTATAATTTCCTTTTCGGTAGCTGTCAAAATTTGTAAGTCTTGATGGTCGGGGACTCCAGCCACAAATTTAAGAGCAGGCCCCAGGATGGCACGTCGAGTCATACCGGGTCTCCTGAGCATGCGAACTAAGTCGTCCATCTCGTCCAGGTCCTGTTGTAGTAGTTCTTTTTGTTTTTAATTTTTAAGAGCTGCTTTCATATTTATGTTGTCCAAAAAACCTTCTTCTATGACTGTAAAGTTTATAGTGTGTTTCAAATAAATGGAATTCTGAAAAATTGAGGTTCCCCCTGATAGTATCGGAATAAATAGAGCTGTTGAGTAGTCCACGATTCTCGTTGCCACTACCGGCACAAGGACAACCCTGCAATGTAAATGTCCTATTATTTTTTACATGGTTTAAATACTCTCGGTTTTTTTCTTTATTATGGTAACTTAAGTCCTTTTCCTGTTTCATTTTTAAACGATTCCTAATTTCTTTTTTAACTTCTTCAGTTGAATTGTATAATAGTTCTTTTGGCTTATATTTGTTAACTGAATGAATTGAGTTGGGATGAAACCAACGGGAAATGTTATATCGGTCAAAAACAAGTTATACGTGTCCCGGCGTTTCGCTGGGTCACGTCTAGGAATCGAGATATATATATAACTATCATATAGGGGAAATTGTCACCTTTGGTAGTCTTTTTTTGACATAACTCGAGAACCACTAGTCCGATTTTGCTCAAACAAATTTAAAATTAAAAACAAATTTAAAATTGCAAACCCTTTAATCTGTTCATATAACGTTTTTTTTTTATATAATCAACAGTTTTGCCGGTAAAAATACATGTATGAATTTTTTGCCTAAAATAATAAATTTTTTTTTAAAACTGTTGATTATATAGAAAAACGTTATATGAACAGATTAAAGGAATTGTAATTTTTAATTTTTTTTAATTGTTGTTGTTGTTTGAGCAAAATCGGACTAGTGGTTCTCGAGTTATGTCAAAAAAAGACCACCAAAGGTGACATATTCCCCTATATGATAGTTATATGTATATATATCTCGATTCCTAGACGTGACCCAGCGAAACGCCGCGACACGTATAACTTGTTTTTTTACTGATATAACTTTCCCCGGTAGTTTGAACCCTTCCTGATCACTGACCCTTACCATTTGTCTCAAAGTGTTATCAGTGATAATCTGTTTAGTGTCGTAAAATTGCGAGATAATTTCAATGTGTGGATTTTTTACGTCTATTGTATTGCGAGACGCAATATTCTTTACCACAGCGAATTTTGAAAATTTATCTATGCATGTAATAAAATATTTCCCTCCTGTGTAATATATATCTATGTGAAGAATCTCTCCTGGTGCTTTAGGGATAGGCATTACTCCTATAGGGTGCAGTATCGGTATGCGTTTGTATTTATTTTCCCTGCAAATTTTGCAATTTTCGGAAAATGTTTTAACCATTTTTACATGTCTGGAAAATAATACTCGGCCAATATTTGTTTACAATTTTCATTGCTTTCCCTATATGCTCTATTGTGCTCGTTGGCAATTATTTCTAACTGGTCATTTTTATTGAAAGTATCCTGCACAAGTTTGCTAGTGTACCTCATTTTTACTCCTGGAAATGCGTTTACCAGATCGTTTTGAATCATTCCTAAAGTTTCTTAACTGCAATGAATGCCATTCACAACTGCCGCGTTTAATGTGTCTTTCAAAGTGCATATCAAATTTGGGATGGATGAAAATTGCACCATGTGATTTGTGATTTCTGATTTGTTTTTGAAATAATGCTCTCATTTGCTTACGATCCGAGTTAAGCGAATGTTGAATGAAGATTTGGTTCTTAAAGCAGTTTATAGGATTTGGTACATAGGGAATAATATTTGTGGATGACTGTTCGCTATGAGCAGTAGTTGCGTGTATATGTTGACGTGACAGCGCGTCAACAACTTTGTTTTCTAATCCTGGCATATAATAGAATTTCGGAGAATATTCTTCAATAAAACTCCTCCATCTTTTAAGTTTTGTATTTGGGTTTTTTTCGGACATCGCGAAAATTAAGGGCTGATGGTCCGTATAAATATGAATATTCGGAGCCCCATATAAATAGTTTTTTAGGCTTTGCAAAGCCCAAACTATTGCTAGTATTTCTCGTTCATTTGTTGCATAGTTTTGTTCGGTTTTACTTAAAGTTCGTGAAACCATCGCTTTTGGCCGTCCCTTTTGCGATAAAACGGCTCCGATTGCATCAGCAGATGCACCCATTGTTAACTCAAAGGGTTTCCTAAAATCGGGATATAAAAGTAACACGTCTTCTGAGGCTAATATAGATTTAATTCTATTAAATGCACCTATCGCTTCAGCGTTTAGCTGAAGTTTTATATACTTAGAATTTCTGGCTGATACGTGCCCGTTTCGCCACTAAGATATTTTGTTAGACGTTTGGCAATTGACGCATAACCTTTTACAAATATCCTGTAATACCCCGCCCGTCCTAGAAAAGACCTCAGGCTGCGAAGAGATTTTGGTATTTCATAGTTAACTATATCTTTAATTTTGTTAGGGCATGTCTTAATTCCATCACTGGATACCCTAAAGCCTAAAAATTCTACTTCGGCGTGAAAAAATTTTGACTTTTCAGGTGCTACTCGCATATTTGCTTGCAAGAGTTTTGTCAGTATTCTCTTTACATCTGTTGTATGCTCTTCTGTTGACTTGGAAAAGATTATTACGTCATCGATGTACACTAGAGTGGTCCAAAAAAATTAAGTTGGAATTTTAATGCCGGCACCCCCTAGGATTGTTCTATATCGACAAAAATATACCCATATTTTTGTATTTTGAAATCAAAAAATATTTAGGGGGTGCTCAAAGCGCTCAAAGTTTTCCATGTATTTTATATGGAGAAAAAACCATTTTTCGTAGAAATGGTATAAAACTCTTAAAAATCAATATTTTTCTATCGGAAAACTGTGGTTCTCTTCAGGAGACTTCCAGTATTAATATCCAATTGTTTATTTAACCATTTTTTATGATTAAAGATTTTTCCATTGCATTTTCTAGAGGTTTTGGAGGACCTATAAAATATAGTTACTATGAAAAAATGGTTAAAGAGACAATTGCGTATTATTATTGGGAATCTCCTGAAGATAAGAAAAGTTTTCTGATCGAAAACTGTTGATTTTCAAGAATTCTACACTATTTCTACGAAAAGTTGTTTTTCCCCCTTATATAATGCATGGAAAACTTTGAGCGCTTTGAGCACTCCCTATTTTTATTTTTTTATTTTCAAAATAAAAAAAATAGGGGTATATTTTTTTTGATATAGAAAAATCCTAGGCGGTGCCGGCATTAAAGATCCGACCTTATTTTTTTTTACATACATTTTTGGACCACTTTAATGTACACATTACAACACTTTCCTATTTCCTCTCGCAGCACGTAATCTGTCACTCTTTGAAATATGCTTGGTCCATTTTTCAGGCCAAACGGTAATCTCCAAAACTCATACTTGCCGTTATTGACTGAAAATGCAGGTTTTTCCCTGTCAGATTCTTCTA